CGGTTTTACGATAGACCCCATATTTGAGGAGGGGACTCCTTTCAAAGAGTGTGTGTCAGGACATACAAAAATGCTTATAACTCAGAAACTGCTCAACACAGAAGCTTCAAATTTCTTTTGTTGTTTAACTCTGATGAAGCTCTATCCATCAGGCCCACCATCAGTCCACCCCCACCCCCCTCCGACCCCCAATTTATCTGAAAAAGGGGTATCTGGACATACAAAAATGGTTATAGCGCAAAAACTATTAAACATAGGAGCTTCAGATTTATTTTGTTGTTTAGCTCTGATCAAGCTCTATCCATCAGGCCCACCATCAGTCCACCCCCACCCCCCTCCGACCCCCAATTTATCTGAAAAAGGGGTATCTGGACATGTAAAAATGCTTATAACTCAGAAACTGTTCAACATAGAAGCTTCAGATTTATTTTGTTGTTTAGCTCTGATCAAGCTCTATCCATCAGGCCCACTAATCAGTGCCCCCCCACCCCCTGGACCCCCAATTTATCTGAAAAAGGGGTATCTGGACATACAAAAATGGTTATAGCTCAAAAACTATTAAACACAGGAGCTTCAGATTTATTTTGTTGTTTAGCTCTGATGAGGGGCTATCCATCAGGTCAACCAATGCCCCCCCACCAAAAAAAGGAAAGACCCCCACCCAAACCACTACAATTTTGGGATGCACCTCGTAGAGTGACATTTATTAGGAATAAATATTCTGAGTTCTGGTGCATTTGTGTGTGCGGGGGTCATTGTGTTACCGCTGTGCGATATCTACTTTGTATTTTTTTGTGCAACGAACACATTTCATTATGCATTTTAGATACTAATAACTTTTTGATGAGTTAATTTTCTGTGCTCCAAAAACCAATAAAAACATCATGCACACCACTCCACCTGACAGACAAGCTGTGTGACTTTAAAAAACAACAACTGTGGACAGACGCCGTCTCACCTGACGAGCTTCTAGAATCTGCTTCCTCAGCACCTCTTTAATGGTTGGCGTGTTGGGTCTGGGCGGGTGGTACAACAGGCTGATGTTGGTTTCTGCATCTTTCAGACTGACCTCTGGCCACCCCAGCTCCAGGTCAGGAACTTCCTCGTCTGACTCCAGTGGGAAATAGGTGGAAGGGTTTGTCACCTTGCCTGTGCCTTCTGAATCAACCTCCACGACTGGTTTTTCTGCTTTCTCCAGGATGAAGAGAATCTCCTGCTCCGACAGAAAGTGGTTGCTGTGCTCAGCTCGGACATACTCCTCGTAGGCCTCTCTGCCTCCACACAGCAGAGCGTAAATGGCCAGGCGGTGGGACTCTTTATAGTGTGGCTCAATGTAGACCTCAGGCAGCTCATCTGAAGACAGGCTGGACTGACTGTCCACTGAACACAGACTAGGCTGACCGGACTCCATGACTGCCAGATGTCCTCCAGGTGTGTCTGCACAGGTGTCTTCTCTACCTTCAGTGTGAAACGTTACAAGACTTTTAACTCCATTAGCAAATAGATTGAATTATTTCAGTAACAATTCATTCCTACACAATAAGGCATGCAGTGACGTTTTCACATTAAAACTAGGGCTGTGAAATTAATCGAGTTAACTGATTAATTTTAGTGCTGCATGGGCAAGATTAAAATTTTAATCACAATTAAAATTTATAGTCACTTTACTATGGTTGAATACTGTATATTGCAATGCACTCAGTGCCAGGTCATGTTTATAAATGAGAAGTGGTTCTCAAACAGTTTACCTGGATAAATAAAGGTTAAATAAATAAAAATAAAACTTAAACTCCCATGTGTAACACATTTAGAGTATTTTTCTTTTTGTCTTCTTATGGCTTATTTTATTTTATTTATTTATGTTTTGCTGACAACTGTGACCTTAGTATGTATCTTTAATTTGGAATGAAAATCCTTGACTTCTTGATTTAACCTCATTATTTTGCACAAAATGTAACTGACTCAAATATGTTTGGAGCAGTTTTAGGTCCTGATTTGTTGTTTTTGTGCAGTCGAGGTGATATTTTCATGATTTGTTATTGCTGTATGTATTTCTTAAGCACCATTTTTTTTTAAAATAAAGACTAATTAACAACTCAAGTAATTTATTTTACCAATATGCAATAAAGTTTTATATTAAGTTTAAGATTAATCGTGATTAATTCACAGCTACCTTGGAATTAATAGATTAAAAATGTAATCATTTGACAGCCCTAATTAAAACAAATGTTATTTATTAAAATAACTATTAAATCAAAGAAATAAACACTTACTTGGTCATCAGAGAAAGATATCCTCCATTTCTACACATTTACAAAACTTAAACGGAAAAATGCAAAACATAACGTCTAAGTCTTCTTCTGAAGATGTGTCTGCGCTCCCTCCAACATAAACTAGTTGCAGTAAAGTAGCCAAACACTCTGTGCAAACTAACATCCTGTTGGACCTGTTCACTCCACTGACAGATACTGCAACAAGCTCCGCCCACCTCAGCTCACCTGGGTTTCAGGAGCAGGTTTGCCCTGTTGGAGACTACAGCGCGGGAGCACATTTTTTACTTCTGACTTTTTTCATGGCCACTGAAAGATGTGTGTTACGCACACACTGCGACAATGAGAGGGAAACATGGGCTGCCGTTTGTAAAGTTACACAGTGAAAAATTATCACCAATATTTTTGTTTTATTTAGAACAGATTTATTTTTCAAAGACAGTTTTTCACCATATGATTCATACATTTATAAATGTCATAGTTTATAAACTAAATATTTAACTTACAAATTAAATATTTAGTTAACAAGCTAAATATTTAACTTATGGCTTAAATATTTAGTTTTGAGCTAAATGTTTAGCTTGAAACTTAAATATTTAGCTAGTCACATAAATATTTAACAAATATTTAGGTGACTAGCTAAATATATAACTTGCTAGCTAAATATTTAAGTTGCAACCTAAATATTTGGGTGACTAGCTAAATATTTAACTTGCTAGCTAAATATTTAACTTGCTAGCTAAATATTTAAGTTGCAACCTAAATATTTGGGTGACTAGCTAAATATTTAACTTGCTAGCTAAATATTTAATTTGCACCCTAAATATTTAGCTTGAAAACTAATTATTTAAGTCAAAAGTTAAATATTTAGGTTGTTAACTAAATATTTAATTTGTAAGTTAAATATTTAGTTTATAAACAATGACATTTATAAATGTATGAATCATATGGTGAAAAGGTGACTTTGAAAAATAAATCTGTTCTTTTTTTCTTATAAAAGTCTAAATAAAACAAAAATATTGGTGGTAATTTTTGACTGTGTAACTTTACAGACGACACCACATAGGAAAAAGCACACAAAGACAACAGAGGATGTTGATGAGGATGGTTTATTGCATTACAAAGCACTAGAAGAAGAAGAAAAAACAATTCAGAGACAGATGGAGCTTTGTGGCATAGAGAGACAAGCAGGAGGTGAATATGATTATTCACATCTTCAGTGTCAGGCTTTATGATTACATTAAAAACAAGATCTACATGGATGACAACAAACAGCTAACAGGAGAACTAATTATTGGTAGTTGTCTGTAGTGTGTAGGAGCAGCTTTAAAGTACAATTCTGATCTGGAACATGGGTCACATTTCTGTAGTTTTGTTTTATGATGATTACTATAAGTATTTATTATAATATTATTTTAATTATCAGTCTAAAATGACCCATGCCTTAATCTGGTAACACAGTAGCTGCGTTTCCATTGACCATGAAAATGCGCAAATTAGCATTTCGAAAATAAATTTGCTCAAAGGAAACACGTCAATTCCGAAAAAAATTACGTTTTTCGACAAAATGTTGGCGTTTTTCGCAAAACTGTAATGGAAACAGTTTTTTCACATCACAGGAGTCACGTGATCAACAACCGTCTGTTTCTACTGGTGAAAAAGACGATGATGAAGAAGATAACAGGAAG